GAAGCGAGGGCAGGGAGAAAGTAGGGAGGTATGAAGGAAGGAAGAAAGGAGGGAGGTGAAGAGGAAGAGAAGGATGAAAGATGAAGGGAGGGAAATGAGAGACGGAGGAAGGGAGAATAGAAGGAGAGAGAATGGAAGGAAAGAAAGAGAGCAAGGAAGTAAAGAGGAAGAGAAGGACGAAGCGAAGCAGAGGAGGGGGAAAGGGCCAAGAAAGGAAGCGAAGGGGAGGAAACAGGAAATAAAAGAAGTGAGAAGGAAGGAAGGGCGCCAGGGAATCGCTAATGGAGGAGGGGGGGGAGGGGGTGAGAGTGAGGGGCCAAGTGTTGCAGACGGAAACACGAAGCTCAACATAAAGGATAATACGCTGAAAAGTGGGTTACGGGTTAAAGCTTGAAAGGAAATTTTGCACGACTCTCTCTTAACCGTTTCGATGGAATATACAGAAGAATGAGTCTACGATAAGCTTTAAAAAGGGTGAAAGAGAGAGAAAAAAAGTGAAAAAAAACATCTCTAAAATGTATTCTGAGAAAGAAAAAAGTGGAAAGAAAAAAAAATGTCTGAGAAAGAAGGATTAAGAATAGTAACAGATCCAGAAAATTATAGAAAAGGGACTATAATAAAAACGGTAAATGTTGAAATAGAAAAATAAAGTTTGGAGAACCAGAATTTGAATTCCCTCCCGCTTTCTCAATATTTACGTATTCATTTTTTCTTTTTTTATTTTTTTATTAGCGGCGTATTCTAAATATAGCAACATGATGAGGCTTGAAGACGCAGCCCCAGGTAAGGAAAGGTCAAACAGCCCTGGTAAAATATTGAGACGAAAAGGGGAAGGATAAAATACACTGGTAAGATATTAAGACGAAAAGGGGAAGGACAAAATACGTTACAGAACTCTGTGGGTAAGTATGGTATTGAAAAGGGTAAAGAGGGAAGGGCAAATGGAGTAGTTTGGCCTTTCAGGACTGACAGGACCAGTCTTTCGGCCTTTCAACACGGCTCTAAGATGTGGAGAGAAGGAAGGGATGAAGAAGGGAAGGATAAAGAAAGAGGGAAGAAAAGACCGCGTATAATTAGTTGAGGCGAGGGCTGAGGCAGAGGCGATCCCCGTCTCGTAACCCCCCCCCCAAACCAACCCCCCCACGATAGCAACGAACAAGGGACGGGGGGTAGGGGGGGGGTGAAGACTTTCACAACAGACGTCCTCGATAAATATCATAGTTATTGAAGTAAATAATAGATTATTAGTTGTGTCAATAGAGCTAATAACAACCACACATCAATAACATGTCATTAGAGAAACCAACGCACCTTAATCTTGTATCAACAACCCATGTTCTGCTATTCAGGGGAAATACATGAAACGCGTGCTATCAGATGTTAGTCCTCGCTCCCCAGTGTGGTGCTTGCAAATGCAGCTGTAACCTGCGTGACTGCTGTGCTAATCAATGCTGTATTACCACACACCTGGCGGCAGGAAGACGCTTACTAACTACAAGGAGCCGCACATGATATATATATATATATATATATATATATATATATATATATATATATATATATATATATATATATATATATATATATATATATACGAGATAACTGATAAGGTTTACATTAGATCATTTGATTGATACTTTTGGGTAAAGGAGTTAAGTCTTTTGGATTTAAAGATATGGATATATATAACAAAATAAATGGTTTATCAGGTTTTAATGAAAACGTGTGTAGTTTAGATTTTATTTTATAAAAAAAAAAAAATAATGAAGTATGGTTTTAAATGGAGTACACATTTTTAAAAACATTAAATAAAAAAAAGTTGAAATTAAAGTACATTGCACGTAACAGTAAAATCTAGCAATTAAAATGTCAAAATTGGTTGTAATAATATTTTTGATTCATTTTCACCAACTCTTTTAGGACTTCATAAATGCATTAAATTTTCCTCTCAATTCACGTCTATCATAGTTATTATTGACAGCCTTTCATGCCCAACATCTTTAGTTTCGATTTCCTTAATTATCATTTACTAACAACTATTCATTTCCCTTATTTATCTTTATTCATAAATTACATTTTCTTTCACTACCTATAGTCAGTGATCATTTTCTTCACTTTATTCAGTGAATGCATTTTCTACTATCTTCTTTCACTGGTCATATTTCATTCACTATTCTTATATTCACTGGCCATATACAGGTATTTACTGTCGTTATTCAGTAGCCGTGTTGTTATAAGTATTATACACTATCCATAGATTTTACATTATCTTTATTCACTGACCATATTTTATTCACTATTTCCAGTCTCTCCATAATTTTCACAATCTCTATTCCCTGATCACATCTTTCACTATCGTTATTCACTAGCCATATTCTTTTCATTTTTTTGTATTCGGTGACCATATATCATTCACTGTTTTCATTTTCTATTCATCATTTTCATATTTATTTTCACTGATTATATCTTCCACTACCGTTATTCTCTAGCGGAGAGTGTGTTAAGCCTTCCCTTTCTTACTCGAGATCTCATCAGCCTCCGATAAGGCCTCAAAGAAACCCTGTGAGAAATTCTGGAATATCATCCCCAGATCAAGACGAGTAGGAGTTTCGGGCAAAGGAATCTCTTCGTATTTATTGGCTGCCTCGATCTCGCCCTCGGGAGGATCAAAAGGGACGAAGGGATAAGCATCAGGATCTGCTTCTGGTGATAATGCAGAAGGGAATTGCACGTCGACGTCCATGCTGATCGAGTTCTCTGCTTCTCGTGACTGTATGCCGACGGTTATTACATTTTCTTCTGATGGTGTGTCGACAGTTATTAAATTTTCTGTTTCTGATTCCGCAGTTATCAACTTCTCTGCTTTTGGTGATTGTACGTCTACTTTTATCGTCTTTTCTGCTTCTTGTGCGTCGAACGTTATCGACTCTTCCGTCTCTGGTGATGAAAGTTCCTGCGCGTCGACGTTAGCTTTTTCGATGTCTGACTGTACGATGGCATCACCGAGCGAAGCCTCTGTAGTTGGTGATGATCTTGGAAGGTTTTCTCTCGTGGACGTCTCACTGTTGGTATTTATAACCTTTTCAATGTCGAAGAGGTTCGTGTTGCTTCTCTCGATTCTAAGTTCATGTTCTAATTCGTCCGTTTTCTCTGACGACTTTAATGCATTGGGTTTCGAACTAGTCATAAGCTCGCCAGAACAATCCAAACCTATGGAGGACGCCTTCCTTCCTTCATCCAACAAGGGAAGGCTTTCAGGAGAGCCAGACCTGACATCAGCAGAATTTGGAGGTTCTGTGAATCCGTTTGGTCTAGGAGGCAGGATTCCTTCAGGTTCTTCAGCTCCTACTCTGCTCGATCCTGAAGCCACAGAGCCGTCCAAGTTTAGGAATTCAGCAAGGTCAGTGGACGATTTGCCTGGATCTGAGGAATGCAGTAATCCATTTGGTTCTGAGACTACACTTCCTTCTGGACCCGTGGGAATAGAGCTCCCTTCTGGGCCTATAGAATAGAGCTCCTTCTGGGCCTATAGGAATAGAGCTCCCTTCTGGGCCTATAGGAATAGAGCTCCCTTCTGGGCCTATAGGAATAGAGCTCCCTTCTGGGCCTATAGGCTAGAGCCCCTTCTGGGCCTATAGGCTAGAGCTCCCTTCTGGCCTATAGGCCTAGAGCCCTTCTGGCCTAGGCTAGCTCCCTTCTGGCCTATAGGGAGCTCCCTTCTGGCCTATAGAATAGAGCTCCCTTACTCCTGGGCCTATAGGCTAGAGCCCCTTCTGGGCCTATAGGAATAGAGCTCCCTTCTGGGCCTATAGAGATAGGAATAGAGCTCCTTCTGGGCTATAGGCTAGAGCCCCCTTCTGGGCCTATAGGAATAGAGCTCCCTTCTGGGCCGAGATATAGAATAGAGCTCCTTCTGGGCTGGGCTATAGGCCTATCTGGGCCTATAGGCATAGAGCTCCTTCTGGGCCTATAGGCTAGAGCTCCCTTCTGGGCCTATAGAGCTAGGCCTATTTCCCTTCTGGGCCTATAGGAATAGAGCTCCCTTCTGGTCCTATAGGCCTAGAGCCCCCTTCTGGGCCTATAGGAATAGAGCTCCCTTCTGGGCCTATAGGCCTAGAGCTCCCTTCTGGGCCTATAGGAATAGAGCTCCCTTCTGGCTATAGGCCTAGAGCTCCCTTCTGGCCTATAGGCCTTCCCTTCTGGGCCTATAGGCCTAGAGCTCCCTTCTGGGCCTATAGGAATAGAGCCCCCTTCTGGGCCTATAGGCCTAGAGCTCCCTTCTGGGCCTCCCTATAGGCCTAGAGCTCCCTTCTGGGCCTATAGAATAGCTCCCTTCTGGTCCTATAGGCCTATAGGAGAGCTCCCTTCTGGGCCTATAGGAATTGAGCTCCCTTCTGGTCTATAGGCCTAGAGCCCCCTTCTGGGCCTATAGAATAGAGCTCCCTTCTGGGCCTCCTTCTAGAGCTCCCTTCTGGGCCTATAGGAATTGAGCTCCCTTCTGGGCCTATAGGCCTAGAGCTCCCTTCTGGGCCTATAGGAATAGAGCTCCCTTCTGGCCTATAGGCCTAGAGCCCCTTCTGGGCCTATAGAATAGATCCCTTCTGGGCTATAGGCCTAGAGCCCTTCTGGCCTATAGGGATAGGCCCTAGAGCTCTGGGCCTTATAGGAATTGAGCTCCCTTCTGGTCCTATAGGCCTAGAGCCCCCTTCTGGCCTATAGGAATTGAGCTCCCTTCTGGCCTATAGGCCTAGAGCCTCTTCTGGGCTATAGAGCCCCTTCTGGCCTATAGCCCCCCTCTAATATAGGAACTAGAGCCTTCTGGGCCTATAGGCGGCCTATAGGCCTAGAGCTCTTTGGGCCTATAGATAGCCTCCCTCTGGCCTATAGGCTCCTATAGCTAGAGCTCCCTTCTGGGCCTATAGGCTAGGCTCTTATAGGCTCCCTTCTGGGCCTAAGGGAAACAAACTCCCTTCTGGCTCTATGGGAAATACACTTATTTCTGGCTCTATAATCACAGTGCCTCCTACTCCTTGCCCTGTGGGTACCAAATTTTCTTCGGAATTCACTGTAAACTCTCCGCCAGGTGTTGTATACACAAAACCTCCGTCGGGTGTTGTGGATACCCAATTTTTGTCGGGGGTTGTGGTGACTAAACTCCCTTCAGTGGTTGTAGAGGCCTGATCCTTTGTGGTGAGTGTGGTTGACAAATTTTCATCCGTTGTGGTTATAATACTTTCTTCAATAGTTGTCGAGGTTGTGGTTGCGATACTTGCTTCGGTAGTTAGCGAGGTTGTGGCTACCATACTTTCTTCAGTGCTTTTTGGGGTTGTGGTTGCGATACTTGCTTCGGTAGTTAGCGAGGTTGTGGCTACCATACTTTCTTCAGTGCTTTTTGGGGTTGTGGTTGCGACATTTTCTTCAGTAGTTTCCAAAGTTGTGGTTTGCATGCTTTCCTTCAGTGGTTTCCAGGGTTGTGGTTGCGATACTTCCTTCAGTAGTTTCCAAAGTTGTGGTTTGCATGCTTTCCTCAGTGGTTAGCGAAGTTGTGCCTACCATACTTCCCTCAGTGGTTTCCAGGGTTGTAGCTGCCATGCTTCCTTCAGTGGTTTCCAGGGTTGTGGTTGCGATACTTCCTTCAGTGGTTTCCTGGGTTGTGGTTTCCATACTTTCTTCAGTGGTTGCATTTACCAAAGCCTCACTCGGGGCAGCTGTCACCAAACTCTTTTCAGTGGCTACCAACTCTTCTTCCTCCTCGTCCTCCTGTTGCTTCTCCTTCTCCTCCTGTTGCTCCACTTTCTTTTGCTCCACCTCTTCCTGTCGCTTCTCCTCATTCTGCTCCACCTCCTTTTGTTGCTCCTCCACTTCCCTCCTTCTTTCCTTTTGTTGCAACTTCACCTTTTGCTCCACCACCTCCTGTAGTCGCTCCACCTCTTTTTGTACCTCCTTCACCTCCTCCTTTTCCCCTATCATTTCCTGTAGCTCCTCCTCCCCCACCGCCTCCTGTAGCTCCCCACCATGTGCTCCTCCTGTAGCTCCTTCTCCTCCTGTAGCTCCCCTCCCCCACCATGTTCCCCCACCGCCTCCTGTAGCTCCCCCCCCACCATGTCCTCCCCCGCCGCTCCTGTAGCTCCCCCTCCCCCTCGCCCGCCTCCGAAGCCCTCAGCAGCATCCTGAGGACCCTGCCGATCCCCGACAGGAGGCTGCGGCCCGCCCACGAGAGGGACCGGCCGCGGGCGAGGTAGTCATCCGTCACGCACATGTCCCCCCGGAAGGCCAGGTTGAAGTAGGCGTGGAAGACCCCGCGGGAGCCCATGGAGTTGACCTTCCTCAGGCAGTCGGCGAAGCGGCGGTCACACTCGCAGTGACTCCTGCAGAAGGAAGAAGGTGTTACGTATATAATCCCGTGGAAGGATTGATCTACTGTATTTAAGGCTTGATGGAAACGGACGGCGTGGTCCTTATATGCTCACTGGGTGGTTAAGGGGAAGAATCTATCTACTTATCTATCTACTTCACTTGAGTCCTAATCAGAATGGAAGACGTGGTCCTCGCGTGGTTCCGAGGAAGGACTTGTCTATCACATTTAATTACAACAGACAGACGCCTCCCCAAGATCATGCAGTAACCACATCACGTACATCTTTTTTTTATTATGATTGATGTCATATTAGGAAAGGAAAACATGTTCTCAGCATTGGTTTCCGCGTGAGTGCAGGGGATGGTGTCTATCATTTACGTAGAGGAAATATAGATTGACAGATATATAAATACATAGATGAATATATAGATAGATAGATAGATAGACAGGTAGTCAGACAATATATGAATTTATACATCCATGAATATATATATATATATATATATATATATATATATATATATATATATATATATGTGTGTGTGTGTGTGTGTGTGTGTGTGTGTGTGTGTGTGTGTGTGTGTGTGTGTGTGTGTGTGTGTGTGTGTGTGTGTGTGTGTGTATGTATATATGTATATATGTATATATATATATATATATATATATATATATAATATATATATATATATATATATATATATAATATATGTGTGTGTGTGTGTGTGTGTGTGTGTGTGTGTGTGTGTGTGTGTGTGTGTGTGTGTGTGTGTGTGTGTGTGTGTGTGTGTGTGTGTGTGTGTGTGTGTGTGTGTGTGTGTGTGTGTGTGTGTAATATATATATATATATATATATATATATATATATATATATATATATATATATAGTGTGTGTGTGTGTGTGTGTTGTGTGTGTGTGTGTGTGTGTGTGTGTGTGTGTGTGTGTGTGTGTGTGTGTGTGTGTGTGTGTGTGTGTGTGTGTGTGTGTGTATATATATACATATATATACATAATATATATATATATATATATATATATATATATATATATATATATATATATATATATATATACATATTACAACTGCACGCATACAGATTTACCTGAATGTATATACCAAATATAACAAAAATACATGCATGCATATTCACGTAAACGTATAAATTATATATCCTGCGTATCCTATCAAACGTTCAAAAACGTATCAGGTTGTCTAATCCTTTCTGCCATAATGGAAAAACAATTTACATTTTAAGTGAATGCCAGTGAAATATTTACTCTGTCGCTGAACAAACGCCTACGAACACACCTCTAATTACCAAAATGTTTTGAACTACTTCTAATAGAGAGGTTTCGAAATGTTCACAACGATGTTTCGAATTCCCGTGAACGAAGATGTCTAGAATAAATACTTACGCAGGTTTTCTTTCGAACTACTAACAGCAGACGTCTCAAACAACTGCACCCATAGATACTTCGGTCAACTACTACTAACAGATGTCTTGAAGTACTTACATTCATACTTCGAACACCTACAAACGAAGACATCTAATAAACAAAGACACTCAGAATTACTAACAACAGACGTCTAAAGCACCTACCTACAAAAACGTTCCAAACTACCAGAAACAAACGTCTCAGCCAATTACTTACAAAGATACCAAACATGTCTTACAGTTCTAATTTATGGATTTCATCCCGCTTTCTTCGCACCATATCGTCCCTGCGTAGATCATAAACACGATATAGTATAGTTAATATATTAACAAAACTCTTTGCACCATCTCGTCCTTTTGTACATTTATGAACAAATATATTAGTTTATCACATATTCACACCACATCGCCCTTATGTAGATCACAAGCATATAGTTTAGATTAAAGCAAGACTTTCTAGATTCGAGTTAAAATAATTAGATCAATCGATATTACAGAGTTTTCGTTCGTGACTCTCCACTGAATCCCATAGACCATAAAAAACGGATTAAAGAGAATGAAATATTAACGATTAATGGACGAAACCCTAGACTCGTTGGGTAGCTGGCGTATAGAGTAAAATAATGGTTTAGCGTTATTTTTGGGAGAAAGAAATACGACTTATTGTACTAAAGGGATGTGTTTCTTCTCAGCAGGTATTCGTCTTTCTCTCTGACTCACAAAGTGTAGTCTATTCCCCCTAACTTGGCTATGACGTATTTAAATGTAGGAAAAAATGGTATATTCGGACTATCTGTAATATTTTTTTTATCTATTGTAGCATATTTGTTCTTCTTCTTCCTTTTTCGTCCTCTTTTTCTTCTTTCTTCTTCCTCTGCCTCTTCTTCTTTTTCTTCTTCCTCTTATTATTACTTTTATTCTTATTATTCTTTATTCTTCCTCTTCCTCTGCTTTTCTTCTTCTCTCTTCTTTCCTTCTTCCTTTTACACCTGATATGTTCATGGTAGCGTGTTTTCATCGGGTTTCACTTCTCACGTGACAACCCTTTTTTTCTAATCCTTAATTTAATGTCCATATGGACATTATATGAGCGTTTGTCCCCGATGTCAATGGCACTCCTCGATTTTCAGAATTAAGGGAATTAACCCTAACTACGTGCGAGTCTGTGGCCTTAATGACCTTAATAACTATCTATTTTCTCCTCCCACAATTTCCTTGTAAGGTTTTCCTTACTCCCCTTCAAACTTTTTCCCTCTCCCTCTCCTTCCAAAACTCCTCCCTCTCCCTCTCAACCTTTTCCTTTTCCCTCTCCCTTTCTCCGTCTCTCTCCCATCCCTCTCAACCTTCTCCTTCTCCCTCTCCCTTTCTCTCTCTCCGTCGCTCTCGCTCTCTCTCTCTTTCTTTCTCTTCCCGTCTCTCTCTCTCTCTCTCTTTCTACCTCTCCCACCCACTCTCTCAATCATAACCATCAGCTTACTTCTCACAACCTCCCTCTGGGGCGGGGATTATCTTCCGTCCATTTCCTCCCTCATTCCACTTCCCTCCCTTGACATTCCCTTCCCTAACTTCACCTATTCCTTTCCTTACTCCCCTCTTCTTCGTCTTCTTCTTCATGGCCTTAATCCCTATCGGAGTCGGCCATTCGGAAACGATGCCTCCGACTTGGTCTTTGTGCTATCCGTCATCTGCTACGTATTATCTATCACATAGGGCGAAGCTGGGGTGATGGAAATACAAATAAAAAGTCAAGGGGATTTTAGTTTTGAGATAAGTAAATGCGTAAAGCTAACTCCCGCATTTGCAGAAGATAACCCTGAGGCTTTCTTCTGGCTCTAGCTATCAACAACCACATATCGGATGCGGGGCCGCGGGGTTTGGAAATGGCCATTTTTGCAAATCGGGAAACCAAGGTGAAGTTCCTCGGCCAAGGGAACAACGCGCCAGCCTGGACTCGAACTCGCGAACCTGGAGTCGGAATTGACCGGTCGCGTCGCCTGCAGGTGGCTCTGACGTCGCTCAAGCAGCGCCGAAGATGGCACGCTGATGCTTTCCTATGCGTCGTGCCTTCCATATCCCCCTTCCATATCCCTGTATTCCAGGTATCTGGTATTCCAAACCTGGGTATTCCAACCTGGTATTTCCAAGGAAAAATATGCTACAACAGATAAAAAGATATTACAAGGCTTTCCTTCGCGTCTGAAGCGCTGATCGGCTGGACGTCTGATCCAACGGGCGTCCCTTGTCTGCTCAAGAAGGAGGTTGGGCTTCCGTTCCTTCCTTACTCACCTCCTCATTCCAATTCTCTCTGCCCCTTGCACCTCTCAGTCCTCTCCCAATCCAATTCCCTCTCATTTACTTCCTTTCCCAGCTCCCTCTCTTTCTCCATAACACCCAGCAAACAGCCTCCACACGTCCTTTACCCTTCCTCGCCAACAACCTTCTACCACTATTACCCTCCTCTCGACCTCCCTCCCCATTCCATACCACTCCTCCTTCTCCTCCTCTTCCACCTAACACCCAAAACCTCCCCCATCCTTTCCTCCCCCTTCTCTTTTCCCTCCCTTTCTCCCTTACTTTCTAACAACTTCACACCCTCCTGTATCCTTCCTCCCTAAAAGCCTCCCTCCCTCCCCCTCCATTACCCTTCCTCCCCCTCCCCCTCTCTTCCTCCCTTACCTTCCCTTACCCTTCCTCTCTCTCTCCCTTCCTTGCCCTTCCCCTCCTCCCTCCCCCCCACCTCCACCTCCTCTCCCTCTCCTTGCCTTCCCCACCTCCCCTCCCTTACCCCTCCTCCTGTCTCTCACCTGGAGCAATTACCTTCAGGAGAGTCCGGAAAGTCCACGAAGTCCTAGACGCAGGAACCTCCGTCTCGAGACAGCCTTCCACGACGTCAAGGAACCCCGAGACGGAGGACGGACGCTCGACGGCGCCCTGGCTCCTCCTCCACCACCTGGCGAACTGGGAGCGCTGGCTCTTCGATGACCTGGCGGAGGGCGCGGCGGTCAGGGGGATAAGAGGAAAGAGGGGGTGGAATAAAGGATGAAAAGAGGGGGAGTGGAATAATGGAATGACGAAAGAGGGGGTGGAATAATGGATAAAGAGAGGGATTGGAATAACGAAAGAGGGAGTGTAATAAAGGATGAAAAGAGAGGGAGTGAAATAATGAATGACAAGAGAGGGAGTGGAATAATGGATGACGAAAGAGGGAGTGGAATAATGGATGAATAGAGAGGGAATGGAATAATGGATAAATAGAGAGGGAGTAGAATAATGGATAGAAGAGAGGATCGGATAATGGAAAAAAACGCAAAGAGAGGATTGGAATAAGTGAATAATACAAAGGGATGAATATATGGTGAATAATGCAAAGGGATTGGAATAAGTGAATAATGCAAAGGGATTGGAATAAGTGAATAATGCAAAGAGGGATTGCAATAAAAGAAAGACGAAAGAGGGGTTGGGATAATGAAAGAGTAAGGGCATATGTATAGATGTGTTGGAATAGGGAATAGTACAAAGGATGAATAGAAAGATAGAATACCGAGGGGATAATTGGAATAATGAGGAATTAGGGGAATATGAATTAAGGGAGAATAGGTAATTGGAATAACGCTGGAGTAATGGAGGAAGAGGACATGGAATTACGAAAGGATAATGGAATGCGTGGAAGCAAAATAACGCAATACTATAATATGGCGTATATGTATGTATGCGTGTCTGTCTGTCTGTCTGTATGCTTGTACGCGTGTATGTACGCGTTTATGTATGTATGTAGATATGTGTGTACGTATCTATATGTGTATATGGGTGCGTGTAATTCCCCTAAGAGACATTCGAGGCCCCCAACCTCGAGGTATTCCAACCTGGTATTCCAAACCTGGTATTCCAACCTGGTATTCCAAAAACCTTGGTATTCCAAACCTGATATTTCCAAACTTGGTATTTCAAACCATATTCCAAACCGATATTCCAAACTGGTATTCAAACCTGGCTATTCCAAACTTGCATTCCATCCACTGTTGGCTTCCCAAACCTTGGGGCATTGGTATTCCAAACCTGTATCTTCCAAACCTGGTATTTCATCCTGATGTCCAAACCTGTTATTCACAACCTGGTATTCCAAACCCTGATAGTCTCACAATTCCTGGTATCCATATTCCCAAACCTGGTATTACTCCCACCCTGGGTATTCCAAAACCTGTATTCAATCCTGGTATTCCAGACCCTGGTATTCCAACCCTGGATTCCAAACCTGGCATTCCAAACCTGGCATCCTTCCAAAACCTGGTATTCCATTCCCTGGTTATTCCAAAACCTGGTTATTCCAAACCTGGTATTCCAAACCCTGGTATTTCCCAAAACCTGGCATTCCAAAACCTGGTATTCCATCCAATATTCCTTGGTATTCCATCCCTGGTTATTCCAAACCTGGTATTTCCAAACCTTGGTATTCCATCCCCTTTGGTATTCCAAACCTGGCATTCCATCCCTGGCATTCCAACCCTAGTATTTCCAAACCTGCGGCATTTCCTTACCCTGGTATTCCAAAATGTGGGCATATTCCCAACACCCTGGCCTTGATTATTGCCAAACCTGGCATTTCCAAACCCTGGGTTATTCCAAACCTGGTATCATTCCTCTGGTATTCCTAAAACGTATTCCAGAGGTACCTGCGTATTACCCATTTCCTCCTCAGTCCTCCTGTTCC